TGTGGAGGTCCCCTAGCGTGGTGGTCCTGGCCCCTCCCTAGCGAGCTCCAGGCGGGGGTGGATCTTGCCTGGCAGATGCTCTGCCCTGGTGAGAAGGGGGTGGGATGAGCTTTCTCTGCAGCCTAGAACCAGGCTGTGAGCCCAGCTGGCCGGGCTAGAGGGGCTGTGAGGAGGGAGGTGGAGGCAGGAGGGGCCGGGAATGAGCACCATGTTCTCCCAGGACTTTTTCCTGGCCATCATCCTGCAGGACAGCAGCCCAGGTGAGGGGCAGCGTGGGCGGGGCTGGCAGGGAGAGCAGAGGTGGAGGACGCATGGGCTGGGTTACAGGATGGAGTGGAGCAGCTCTGCCGGCAGAGGGAGGGTGTATGTCACAGATGTGCGTTATGTGTGTGTGTGTGTGTGCATGACCATGTTTGCCTGCGTCTGTGTGTCGCAAGGTCAGGGTGCAAGCGTCTGTGGTGTCTGCATACATGGCTGGGGTTAATGTATGTTGTGTCTCTTGAGTGTGCGCCCAAGTATTTGTGTGGTACCCACACATGTTGTGGTATTGCCTGCGTCTGTGTGTCGCAAGGTCAGGGTGCAAGCGTCTGTGGTGTCTGCATACATGGCAGGGGTTAATGTATGTTGTGTCTCTTGAGTGTGCGCCCAAGTATTTGTGTGGTACCCACACATGTTGTGGTGTTGTATCTGTACACCTGTGTTATCTGCATGAATGTATGGCTGGAGTTGGTGTGTGTGTTTGCCCCTGCACACATGTGTGCACCTGTATTTGATTCCTGCCATCTGTGCTGGCATTTTCTGTGTGTTGCACACTCTTGTGTTTGTGGCTGCACAGGTGTGTGGTAGGGCTTGTATATGCTGTATGTCTATGTGCACACGCATGTGTGCAGCAGCTGCTGAATGTGTGCACCTGTGTGTATCCTGAGATATGGATGTGTTTGAGAGGAGGTTAATTGGGGTCACCTTCCTCCCTCCCTTCCTTCCTTCCTCCCTTCCTTTCTCCTTCCTTTCATGTGGCCACAGTTGCCAGTAGCAGGACTCAGGAGGAGACATGAGCCATGTCCCCTACTGGTGGCCCCCGTGTGGTGACTCCAGCCTGTAGTCTGTAGGAGGAAGCAGGAACCATATTGTGCTGTAGCCCTTCTACCACCCCTTCTTCTCAACCATGGGGTCTCAGGGAGGGGGCTGGGAATAGATACCTTCTGTCTCCTTGTTGGATGGGCTGACTCTCACCAAGCCTCTCACCTAGCAGATTCCTTCTGGAACCCCAACGCCTTCGAGACGGATTCCGACCTGCCGGCTGGATGGATGAGGGTCCAGGACACCTCAGGGACCTACTACTGGCACATTCCAACGGGGACCACCCAGTGGGAGCCCCCTGGACAGACCTCCCCCTCACAGGGAAACAGCCCCCAAGAAGAGTCCGAGGTGAGGCCCACACCCTGTTGTTTTGACCAGGGTTGGAGATGGGTATGCTGCTCCAACATGAGGAGCCATCCACTCACTCCTGCCATCCCTCATCTTAGCTCACCTGGACAGGCTTTGCCCACAGAGAAGGCTTTGAGGATGGAGAGTTTTGGAAGGTGGGTAAGGGGATCTGCTTCACCACAAGGGTAGCTGGAGAAGAGGCATCATTTTGGTCCTGATTCCTCAATCTCCTTCCCAAGGATGAACCTAGTGAGGAGGCCCCAATGGAGTTAGGACTGAAGGACTCAGAGGAGGGGACATTGCCCTTCCCACCTCAGAGCCTCAGGTGAGTCACCAGGTGCAATGGGCTGGCAGTGGGATGGGTCTATTTTTGGATGGGGCCTTGGGACAGCTCCATGTATGGGGGCCCTGTGCTAAGTGTTACCATCTGCCTGCAGCTCAGATCCGGTGCCCCAAGAGGAGGAGAAGCTTCCCCCACGGGATGCCAACCCAGGAGCCAAGGTTTGCTCAAGACCAACACCCATTCTGCAGGCTGGGGCCCCTCTGTGTGCAGAACAGCTGCTTGTATTGCGCTCTGGGGGTGTCTGGTCTCAGTGCAGCTCCCCAGGTCCTAAGTTAGGAGTTCTTCCAGTCTCAGCACAGAGCCCTATGTTTGAGCTGGAGGCACTTCAGTTTTTAACTCAACCAGCCCAGTGGCCTGGTAGGGGGTCCTTCAATGCTTTCTGTATTAACAAGGGTTGCCTTTGAGACCTGCCTCTCCCTAACCGCATCCTGTTTGGGGAGCTTCTCAGTTATAGTTCTGAACACCTCCCACCCACCATGTTCTGAGTCAGGAACTCCTCTGTGTCCTGTGCTGGAGGCTTCTCCAGTTTCAGTTCAGACCCTCCACCTCCTGCCTCTCTTTTGTGTTTGGCAGTGTTTCGCCGTGCGCTCCCTAGGCTGGGTGGAGATGACTGAGGAAGAGCTAGCCCCTGGACGCAGCAGTGTGGCAGTCAACAATTGCATCCGTCAGCTCTCCTACCACAAAAATAATCTGCACGACCCCATGTCTGGGGGCTGGGGGGAGGTGAGGGCCTGAGCCAGTGGGGTGGTGGTGCCGTGGGAGTGTGAAGGGATTTATGAGAGATGGGAGATCTGACCTGCCCAAAAGAGGGCTGGGGCAGGGGGCTGTTGGCCCACCCCAAGTAGTAGCCCTATGGGATGGATGAGCAGCCCCAGGCTGGGACATCAGGAGATGGTTGCCTAACATTGACAGGGATAGTAGAGGGAGTCATAGGAGAGATGACGTGTGACTCATACTAGAGCGAGGCCCACAGGGTGGGTAGTCTGACACCAAAGGAGGGGCCCCAGAGCTGTGGCTAATGTCCCCTGAGCTGGAGGTGGCAGAGATCAGCCACCTTCCCAGCAGGGGCACCACTGAGTGCCTGCTTGCTGGGCCTGCAGGGGAAGGATCTGCTGCTACAGCTGGAGGATGAGACCCTGAAGCTGGTGGAGCCGCAGAGCCAGGCCCTGCTGCATGCCCAGCCCATCGTCAGCATCCGCGTGTGGGGCGTCGGGCGGGACAGTGGCAGGTGGGAGCCGGGCCTGGGACTCTAGGGTGGGGGCTCATCCAGCAGTCAGAGTTCTCCTCCCTAACTCTGTTCTTTGCCTCTCTCGTGCTGCCGGACCCAGAGAGAGGTACCGTGCCCCTCCCACACCTGGACCAGACCCTCCAAGCATCCAAGTTCCCCTCTTCTGACCTGCCCCTTCCCACCCGCTGTGCTCTACCATTATCCCCCACCTTGGCATGCTTGCCTGTCTGCCCTCCCTCCAGAAGGCAGCACCCATAGGATGCCACTCAAATGGCAAAAGCCCTGCGGAGCTGCAATGGGCAGGGAAGATGTGGGTGGGGTGGGGACCAGGATCACACTGGATGGCACTGGGAGACACTGAGGTGCCCCTCCCCCAACAGGGACTTTGCCTACGTAGCTCGCGATAAGCTGACCCAGATGCTCAAGTGCCACGTGTTTCGCTGTGAGGCACCCGCCAAGAACATCGCCACCAGCCTGCATGAGATCTGCTCTAAGGCACGGCCCCCTGTGCTACCTCAACAAGCTGTCACCTTTGTTCCACAAGGGTGTGGGTGGGGTCACTGAGTGGGGGTGGGGGCCTCCAGGGTGACGAATCTCTAATAGACTCTCCTTTGCTTCCCTCCATTCCTTCCTTCCTCAGATCATGGCCGAACGGCGCAATGCCCGTTGCTTGGTAAATGGACTCTCTCTGGACCATTCTAAACTTGTGGATGTCCCCTTCCAAGGTCAGTGTCACAGCCTGACCAGGTCCAGCTCAGCTTTGTTGGCAAAGGTGGGGCAGCCCAAGAAGAGGCCCAAGCACCTAGACAGACATGATAGAAAAATGAACACGTGGAGACAGAGCACTTTGGATCAAATAAGTGGAGGGGCTTCAGTTAAAGGGAGGCAGGGGGAAGGGGTGGAGGTAGGCCTTGGCTGGGCCAGTGTCCAGCTTATGCCCTGGTGGTGGGAACTGAGAATGAGCAAGGTCTGCTACCACGATTGATCCTCCTCTTCTTTTCTGCAGTGGAATTCCCAGCTCCTAAGAATGAGTTGGTACAGAAGTTCCAAGTATATTACCTGGGGAATGTGCCCGTTGCTAAACCTGTTGGTATGTGTGTCCTTCTTCATCCAGGGGCCACCATCTTTATCCCAAAGCTCTGCCCCACCCTCTGCCTTCCAGTGTTTCTCTACCAGACCTTCCTCATGGTTGGTGTCTCCCTGCCTTTCAAAATGCATCTCTGCTTCCTGTACCTCTGTCCCAGCCATACTCCATGTCCTGTCTATTGCAGCAGTCAGCCGCATGACTGGTGCTGAACCAGGCACAGGGGGAAACCCCACTTCTGTATCCCATGAAAAGCTTTGGTTGGGTTGGGGGACAGGTGTTAGATGACTGGAAACACCAGGAAGCAGCCTGGAGCTGGGTTCGGTATTACAGCACCAACTGTGGGCTGTGAGCATCTAGAGAAGGAAGCAGTGAACATGATTGTGACATGCTTTGTTGTTGTGAAGTACTTCCTTATGTCATGTCATTTCATTCTTGATAATCATATGAGGCTGGGATTATGATAATACCTATTTATAGATAAGGAACCAAGGGTAGAGACTATCTGGTCCACAGTCTCCAGTGCTTCCATAGTACCTGTCATTTATTTGTTCATTCACTTAACAAGTACCTTTGAAGCCTGCCGTGTGCCAGGCCCTGTACGAGGCACTGGGAGAACAATGGTCACAGTTCCACTTTCATGGAGGTTACAGTAGAAAAAACATAAATTAACCAAATAATCACACAAATAAATGTGCAACTGTAAATTGAGTCATTCATTGAAAGAAAGTAGCAAGATGTAATAAGGAACTTCATCTATTCTGGGGGGTCAGAAAAGACTTCTCTGTGAAAGTGACATTTGAACTGAGATTAAAAAAAAATGAATGGATGGTGTTATAACACCAAGATCAAGGGTTTGGATCCCCATACTGGACAGCTGTCAACCCTCCCCCCCCCAAAAAAAAAACAAACACTAATAGCAGCTGATGTGGTGAAGTGGGATGGAGGTAGGGGTAGGATAGGGAGGGATCATTCCAGGCAGAGCAAACAGTGTGTGTGAAGATCCAGAGTGAGAGGCACTGAGAGAAGGCCAGTGATGCAAGGTGAGGCTGGGAGCTGGGCAGTGGTCAGACTGGGAGGGACTTGATGGGCTAAGTTCATGACTTGGTCTTCATCCAAGAGCAGTGAGGAGCTATTGAAAAGTTTTCAGGAGTGCATTTGACATAATCGGATTTGAATTCTGTAAAGCTAACTTTGGCTATACCATGGAGAAGAGTTTTAAGTTGGTGGAGGTGAATGTGGGAAGCGCAGTTAGGATCTTGCAGTAGTCATGGACAGTAATGAGAGTATCTTGGGCAATGGTGGAGCTGAAGAGGGGTGTGTGGCTTCAAGACAATTAAATGCTTAGACAATTAAAATCACCAGGACTTGGTGATGGATGGAACATGGGATGAGGGACAGAGACATTAGGATAAGTCCTGGGTTCCTGGCTTTCAGACCTGACTGAATAGTGGTACCATTCCCGAAAGGTAGCAGATGCTGGAAGAGGTCAGTTTTGGTGTAGAGATTATGAGTTCAGTTTTGGACATGCTGAGTTCAAGGTGTCTTTGGAGGAACTGAGTGACATAGTCAAGTTGGCCACAGGATTCACAGGTCTGGAGCTGAGAGGAGAGGTCTGGGCTGCATATAGAAGTGTGGGCCTCACTGGGTTATGGGGGAATCAGAGCCATGAGTGTGGAGTAGATTGACCCAGGAAAGTGGGTGGCCTGGAGTGAGAAAGGAAATGAGGCTAGGCCTAGCCTTGAGGCCCTCCAACATCTACGCATGGGTCAGGGAGGATGCAACTACCAAAGAGAGTGAGAACAAAGGAGAGGTGGGAGGAAGAAGAGACTGCATCAAGGACTGGTCGGGTAACGTGTCAAAAGAATTTAGGAAGAACTCAACAAATATTTGGTGAATGAATAAACCTTGCCTCAGATGACGTAGCCAGGAAATGATAAACCTAGGACTGAAACCCTGGTCATCTTCAGGTGTCTGCTCTTCCCCTCAAACCATGCTGACTTTAATGACCAAAACCTTACATCCAAAGAGGGAACTCTTCTTAGAAAAGGTGGAAATTGGGCCGGCCCGTGGCTCACTCGGTAGAGTGCGGTGCTGATAACACCAAGGCCCCGGGTTCGGATCCCATATGGGGATGGCCGGTTCGCTCACTGGCTGAGCGTGGTGCTGACAACACCAAGTCAAGGGTTAAGATCCCCTTACCGGTCATCTTTTAA